TAATATACATGTGGAATACATTATCCAAACCAAGCTCTTGGAAAATACAAAAGGTCACCAACTCTTTGTGTTTTATATTTTCCAAAAGATTCAGTAATCTCATAAGGATCCCTTGACTAAGTAAAAGAGGAGACAAGCTGAAAAGGGTTAGTGATCCTGGCTCTATAGTGCTCAGCTTGTATATGTATGTATGCTCCTTCATCCACTGGTAGGAATCTGGATTAAGCCCAGTGGGTGCTGCTTAATTATAGTTCATTCCTGGTTGTCTCAGTAGATCTTCTGCTTTGTAAATGTGTTTGGGAACAATCTTACGTTCTTCAACACAATACTGTATAATTTCTGGAAGGTGCTAAATAAGCCATGTGTGTTTCCTCTTGAACAGGCTGAGCAGCTGATGGAACGGCTGAAAGCTGAAAGCACTACAAGTTGAGGGAAACCTGCGTCTGAATTGTACCATCTTTCCGACCTTTGAATACCGATTAAAGGATTGGATGTAGTTGATAACATGCTAGACTTTTTAAAACAACTACTGAATTTGCTGCTATATGGTGTTTGAACTAGTTGTTAGCAAACACTATACGTTAAATTTCTCAGGCAAATATCTGAATGCAAGAACGTATAAGATCACAAATACCTATCTGTTCAAAATGCAAAGAACCCTTGAAACTTATGAGATGCCATTAAAATTTAATAACGGTATCTGACTTTGACTGTTTTTGTCTTAATGCAAGGTTTGTGCCTATACAATACATTCCTGATCTTTTTAGTATTGTCTTGGTGCTGTATTCTGTCACTCCAAGTATACATGAGTATACAGGCACAGAGTGGCTAACAAGCCATTGTCTGGAGTATGACTTATTTACTCTGTACTTTCAATGTAAAACTTTAGTTGCTACGTTGAATTAGAATAAGAATAGGTACTTGAATGTGAACAGTTTTAAATAATTTTAGTATTTTAATGCATGTATTAAGGTAGTTAGGGAGTAATAGAACATTTTAAAATCATGCAATAGTTTGTTTGGACTTGGGGTTTAGCATAAAATATCAAATTATTCAATGTGGGTCTTGGATTAAAAGATTCAGAAATTGTAGATTCTGTCGAATCTAGCATGAAATGACTTTCACATGTACTTTTTAAACTGTATTAACACAGATCTGTTATAGCTAAATGATTTCAAACAAGCACTGACATTGTGTGTTTTAGCATGCAGTAGATTAGTATTCAGAAGATGCCAAAAGTAATCCATGTTGTTTTTTATGGTTTTAAAACCTGCTTTATTTATTCAAAACTTAGCATGCATTTAATATGACTCCTAACTGCTTGAACTATTGAAAAGATTTATTCAATTTACTGTTAAGAGTGATGGATAAACATGTTTAATCATGTTCAAATGTTAATGTGCTAAAATAAAAAGAGACTGCTCTGATAATTTATGTGATGGAACTCTGAAACATATAACTTAATATGTTATGAAAAGGAAACCTTTAATAAAATTGTTACCCATAGATCTCTTGAATATTTTTGGACAAAGCTGAATTTAAACATATTTATATGTGTTACTAGATTTCTTCAAAAACCCTAATCCATTTTGTTTAACACCAGGGTCATAGTCACACTGGTATTTATTATTTGAATGCTAGTATACTACTAAAGCAAAGACTTTTATTCAGCATATAAGTTTCAGGCTACCAGCTCTTAATTATGGTATTTGTAATGTAGAGGAAAACTTTATTACTATTTTCAAACAAGCCTTAATCACCCTCTTACACATATCTGTGTGATAATCACTTCTAGTTTTTTAGCATTTTTAATTTGAATAACACATCTCATGAAATATACTGAGTTATTTTCAATCACATGTTGACTAAATTCCTTTAATGAGTACATATTTCTTGTTGTGTAATGACCAAGTATTTTAAAACATACTTTAATTTTATGACAGTTGCTTCCCTATGTTCTAAACCAGGCAGTCATTTGGATGTTTCAAGAGCTTTAACAGATTTCTGATTTAATCATGAAATACCTGGATAATCTTTATCTTCGAACAAAGTAATAACTACACTATCATCTTTTCCTTGCCAAAGCATTTCACCTTCAAAGTCAACCAGGCCATACTTCCTTGCTCTTAAGAGGACACCTACTAGTTTATTGGATATAGTCACATATCTATCAAAGAGCTGTTTAAATGTTATTCTCACTTGCCCATCCTGTTCCTTCTTTCCAGTGTTACGTATAATTAAGCATAGTTCTTCCATTTCTTTGCCTATATGTGCGTGTGCATCTTTTCCTCTCTGCTCAGTTTTGGAGCCTTCAGGTGGTCTCCCATAAGTGGGATCCCCTTTCTCAGTGCGTAAGGTTACTTGGGTGCCATTGCTAAATGGGTTTTGTTGCTGATAAGCCACATGATCCTTGGACCAGCTCTGCCAGTTTCTTGCAAGTTGTCCAACGATGCCGTGACAACTACTTGCTGCTCCAGTATTGTGTGTTTTGCTTTCTTCCATGCCATAAACAGCTTTAATGGCACATAAAGAAAAGGAGAAGGTCTGGATTTGAAAAGGTGAAGGCAAGAAAACAAATTACAATAAATACTACCAAAACTATTTTGCATGATACTCTTGTCAAAATAAATCTTTCAGAAGCCCGAATACTTTTTACTAATGTTAAATCTAAGGAATCACAATTTTCGATCACAAAGAACATAATTTGTGCCAGATTATATACAATGATTCATCAGTTCAATTTATTTCATAAACGTATGTTTTATGACGTGAAAAAGACAACCAACTTGTGTGTGGTAGTTAGATTGGATTATTTCTATTAAAGTTAAAACTGCTTGATTTCCTTTGAAAATCAAAACCAACTCTTAATCCCCAAAGGTTTCTACCATAATCTGGAATGGATATAACTTGCTCCAAAGCGATCCCGCTTTTCAGATGTAAAGTCAAATGATCTACACTTTGAGCTTGGCTTCTGGTAGCTTCATAGACACATCCATGTAAATGAGGAGCTATTTATTATATTTTCTTCCATTTTATCCAGAGGTTCAAGACAGCATCCTTCCACTTTTCCCCACAACAAAGCTATGAGATATATTGAGCTAAGAGAGAGTTGGGGCCAAAGGCATCCAGTGGCTGACTTAAACCTGTCACTTTCCACACCTCATCCAACATCTTAATGACCATATGTCCATCTAGTGTTTTTGGTCTACAGCACAGAAATGAGTTGCAACTGTCTCCCAGGATGTTTTTTGCCCTTCCAGTCTAAGATTTTTTGGGGGTGGAGGGGTTGTTTCACATCCAAATCTACCACTCCTTAGGTTTCTGATTGGCTAAGGCTGGCCACAATGCTGCTGGACTCTTGAGGTGACCGATAAGCCATTATACTTTAAATTTGAAACAGCATCTAGCTTCACAATCCTTGTGATTCCATCTCTATCCTTTCCAATTTATTATTTTTTTCAATTTCTATAGCCACCCAACTCAACCAAGTGACCTTGGGTGGCTTACAATCCTAAAATTATAAAACAATTTTAAAAAAAACCCAACCCCCCCTTTTTTTTACAAGAGTAAAAACTTCCATAAAATAAATGAACCGTTCATAATTTTGGGCACAGCTTTAACCCAAATAAGTATAAATCGGCTAAACCGTCAAATGTCAAATCAGTTCTATGGAAATGGCATTATATATCAGAGGTCTCCAAACTTGGCAACATAGCTGGCTGGAAAATTCTGGGAGTTGAAGTCCACAAATCTTAAAAGTTGCCAAGTTTGGGGGACCCATGTTATATATGTTCGAGATAAATGATAGCAAGACTGCTTCAATTTTCTGAAATTTAGACGACAGACAGACAGTTTGTGCTTCTTTATACTTACTTATCCCGTTGCGGAATTTCCCTGGAGAAAGGAGTCAATTCTTGTCTTTGAAGCACTGCGATATTTGGCTCTCAGCGGGTTTCAAGCTACAAACATCCTGCTTGGACTGAAACCAGTGGACCAATCAGAGAAGAGCCAGCCCCTTATTCCTTACTACAGGGTGGCGCTCCCACCGCACGGCCGGACGCCTTCTTAAGGTGGAGCGAACGTTCAACGTTGTAATTGTGTTGTTATCCTAGATCCGGTGACTAGCATCCTAAAGAAAAGGATGGTTTCCCCCCCCCCCTTCTTGTTTTGGAATTTCGGTCTTTCTGTTCTGTTGCTAACCTCCAGCTCAGCTACGGGCCCCGATTTCCTAAGCGGATCTCGTTTACCGTGAACCGATTCACCCATTCCGGGCCGAGGTACAGATTTCGCCGAGCTGGGGGAAAAAAAGACGCGAGTTCTCTTGTTCCTCTCAGCAAGCTGCAGCTCTCTCTCCGTTAACAATAAATATTGCAGATCAGAACCCGCGAAAGGACCTCGCTGGGTCAGCTTTCCCTACCGGTGCTTATTTCTTTACTCGACCTAACAGCCGAACCTATTGGAAAAAAATACACATTTTTTTTATTAAGCCAAGCAAAAGTTTGCACGGAGGTAGTTGCATGGCGGCGGGGTCCGTAAGGATGCAGTAAGTTCTGTAGGCAACGAAATTTCATTTTAATTTAAATACACGCAGATTCGTGTACATTCAGAGTGACAATAGAGTTGGTCTGCCGCCTTCCCCACCGTTCAGATCGATAAAAACAACAAACAACTTGTACTTCTCTTCCCAAGCCCGGCCGCTTCGACCCCGCTTCCTCCTTTCCCCAGCATTGTCCCCGCCCCTCCTGCTCCACGCGCGCGCGTACGGCCGCCTCTTACTTAAGAGCGCGAGCCGGGACTATGGCGTTGGGGAAAACGGGCTACGGGCAGTACTTGCTGCTCCTAGCGCAGCAGAACGTAGAATTCCGGTTGCCGGTGAGTCCGAGGTGTGGAGCGCGCGCCCGTGGGCGCGCGGCCTTTCTGCCATTTGGACTTTCCCGGGGGGGCTTTGAGCGCGCGCCACGCTCGCGCGCCTGCGGATCTGTCGCAGCCGCGCCTTAGTTCGGGCGCTTTAATTAAGTCTTTTTCCCTTATCCCCGCGCTGCAAAAGGAAATCGGAAGTCTCGCAACCTTGGGGTTTTTTTTGTTTTTGTTTTTGCAGACGAATATAACGGGGTCGGGTAGGCCTTTGGTGGTCCCTGCGTTGGCATGGTGACTCGCCAGGTGGCGGGTTTCCTACTAGGACCCTTGGAGCATTTATTTCCCCAAGCTGCAAAAAAATAAAATAAAACAAAGGTGAACGAGTCGTAAGGAAGGAGTGGGGTGGAAGAGAGATCGTTATGAGAATTTCTATTAGTTCAAGTTATAGTTGTGTAGCCCATGGCATTTTGAGCATAGCTTCAGAGTATTAAGTAGGATTTTTATTAAAGTTATTATGATTGTGTGCTCTCAAGTTGTCAGTTGAGAAGTGAGAAGATCTGGGTGAGAAGTTACTGGTCGCTTTTTACTGTTTGACCACCGAGAGCATTTTGGCATACTGTGTAATGGTGTGGTATGCTGGATGCTCTGCAGTGGATAAGAAGATGCTCCAGAGAGTTATAAACACAGCACAGAAGACCAGATTCTTCTCTAGAGCACTACAAATCTCCACAGACTGTTCTCATCCTTGATATTCATATTTCGAACTGTTACCATCAGGGAGGTGTTATAGGTGTCTTAAAATGAAGACTAATAGATTGAGAAACAGTTATTTTTTTCCCAAGGCAGTAATTGTCTTGAATCAAAGAGTGCATTTGTGATTTAGTCTTCTTCTTCTTCTTCTTCTTCTTCTTCTTCTTCTTCTTCTTCTTC